TAGCGCTGTTGTCGACTACCGCAAGTCAATTCCCTCCTACACTAACCATTGATTGAATATACATGTAGTTGCTATCCAACTTCAGGGCGGAATCTAACGCCATGATTGGAAAATGCCGCGTCAAGTTTAATAGCACGGAATACAGTGATACGCACTGTACTTGTCGGTGACTCGTTACACTGGTTTTATATATTGTCTTTTGTTACTAATAAAATGAATACAATGTCACAATATTACGAATAAAACAGTCTGGCGGTTACAAATTGAGTCGGCATAGGGATTGAACAATCTATTGAAGGTCGTATCAAGATAAACTGAAAAAAAAAATATGTAAACACAGTACCGCTGTATTCAGGAGAATTACTCCACATTACGTCCACGAAATAAATTTGAAGGTGAAGCATTTACTAGCAATAAATTGACAATGTGACACGCCCTAGACCCCAATACCCATTTTGAAATGTCATTGGTTGATCCCTAGCCCCACAATGTTTTGACTGCCACTGGATATGTAGGCCCCTTTGCGTATACGTCGGAACTAGGTCGGGTTCAACAACGTTGAATTCATCACATATTGTGATATTTTCATGAGGACGTTCGTAAATAATAAATGGCCGTATGATGTACCGCAGCTAATGCAATTTTCTATAACGTACTTTGTATTCGACAAATGTGCAATTTGAAAATATCGGTAAAATTCAATTTCTGTTGTCGTTTTCAATATTGAAGAATGATTTTTGGCATAATCATATTTACTTTATGTGCCATGTATTTTATATAATGAATGGCCAGGTGTCACGGATTGTACATCAACACATGCAATGTGCTTTACTCATAAGTTTCAATTAATTGAGTAACTTATTATTATTTGTTGCAGTATTTTTGGAGACTCGTATCTCTCTATGAAATTTAGCCGCAATCGTTGATTTAAAAAAAAAAAAAAAAAAAACGTGTCGGACTTTGTATATATTGTTACATTGACATTGACATTGTATTATATCACACTCTGATTAGTAAATAGGTATTCTCATTTTAGTTGAAATTTATATGGTGTGATATTTATTCAATAATTTGTGTGTTAGATATATTTTAACGAAGCACACAGAGAACATATTAAATAAGTATAAATATTATTGATGAATTAATTCACCACTACAATTATATTAATTTAATATACGAATACAGGTAATACAATCAAAAATACACTATAAAACTAAATACACAGCACTCGAGAACAACTTGTCCAGCATCGGCTCAAACTTCACGTGATTTTTGATACAACATAGTGACAAGTAACAAAAATAACGTATTAGATGTCTGTTGTATATATCATCATCACTTGCAAGCGTTTATGTGATGGCACAGTATAGCTCAGTATTAATACTTTCAATTTCTGACATTTATAACCAAACCTTTTTATGAGCCGTTCTCATTACACACACAAATCCGTGACACCTGGCGACGATCACCGCCATTTAATAATGTTTTCCCGTGTGCCTTATAATAATTCTTATATGAATATATAGCGCACATAATAAAGGCACTGAGCACCTTACAGAGCCATCCAGGAGTGAGAAAAAATAAATCAGGTAATGTTTCTACGAAAAAGATGAGTTTTAAGTTATGACTTGGAAATAGCTAGAGCAGTAATAGACCGGGTGTCTTGTGGGAGTTCATTCCAGAGTTTGAGCTGCAACTGAGACGTCCTCTCATTATAGAGCAACATGTTTCTATAGCGTAAATGAGTACATTACGTGTTCAATTGATTTTTGGTCCAGATATTGCAAATTTTCCATTTGTTTAGATTACAAAGTTAGCTGATTTGCAAATGTTTTTGTCGTGCTGTTTTAATTGCTTACTGTTGTCATAATGACACCAAGATCTTTGGCAACTGTAGAGATGTTGGTACCACTAATATGGATGGTATGAAGATCTGAATTTTGCATCAACTACTTATGTATATGTTTTGACCCATGTAACAGTGACATTATGCTGGGATGGTTTCAGTTTGTTTGTGATAGCCCATGTAACAGTGACATTATGCTGGGATGGTTTCAGTTTGTTTGTGATAGCCCATGTAACAGTGACATTATGCTGGGATGGTTTCAGTTTGTTTGTGATAGCCTATGTAACAGTGACATTATGCTGGGATGGTTTCAGTGTGATACAAAGTTGAGAGTCATCTGTGTGAATCATGTGATATATCAAGGCTGGGATATCAGGATGACATTAATAACATAACTCAGAGGCCTCACTATATGAGATGAGATCTAATGGCCCCTTGACAGATCCTTGAGGAATGCCTTAAGGACGTGAAAAACAGTCAGAAAGCGTATTTACAATGATGACAACTTGTTTGCAATACTACAGATTTTATCCACTGCAGAGCAGTTCCACTGATTCCATATTTGTGTGATAGAAGGTCATGGTCAATGGTGTTGAACGCTGCACTATTGTCTAGAATAATAATCTAGAACTTGTATACACATAATCATTCTTGCCGGAGATTGACACAATAATTAGAATGCATATTCATAGCATAATTGGTAGCATTTATTTAATAAAAAAAGAATTTGTATAAAACAATGGGAGTTGAAATCAAGTACATGTACTTTAAAGTACAAGTTTTGCACTCCCTAATGCCATTTTGAAATTTCAAGATAAATTTGTATAGTTTATAAGTATATATTGTATACATTTGATATGAAAGTCTGTTACTGTGCTCTCTTGCCTCCATCAATATACAAACACAATTATATATTAAAACTTTAATGAAAAGTTTCAAAAATCTTCCTTGAGATGCAAGAATTGAATTCCTACCTGCTGTATGCATACAATCTCATGAACACCTATTTTAACCTTTTGAGCATCATCATTTTTCCAGCAGTTTTTTTTAATTTTTAAGTATTTTTCTATAATTATTTTGATCATTTTAGACCAAATTGACATAATTGTATAATTACTACAGGTCTTGATTGAAATTTTGGAGAAGAATTGAATTTTTTTAAATTTGTTTTTGACTCAAAGGACTAAACCATTTGAATGGAATCATTTATTTTTATTGGAGTAAAGTCTTTCTATAATTTACAAATATAGAACAAATTTAGGAATTTATTTTTTGGCGAGTAAAAGGGTTTGCAGGTCAAATGGTGAAAGTATTGCATTATGATATTTAACATTGTGACATAAATATTAAGACTGTGCATAAAATTAACCAATATATACGCATCAAATATGACAACAAATAATTGCTCTTAACAGACTTTTAGTTTGAATAATATTTGAGCAGGCATGTTCAAACAATTACCGGTATTCATGATAACATCATTGATAATTAAAATCAGTGAGCAAGCTTAAAAACATTTCAAAAAGAATATAATAAGCACTTGCAATTAAGAAAACAAAATTTTGGCTGACTAAAGTTACCATAAGATTCAGTCACAGCAAAGGTTGTTTGTATTATATTGCAACTTGTGAATTTTAATTTGAAATGAACTTGCTAATTTTTTAAGACAGGTTTCCATATACTACAACATCATTGTTTAAATAATCCTTTTTGCATTCTCGTATACCAATAACTTTATAATTTCGCAGTCCAAAAAAAAGTATAACATCTCTGGTCACAATGCTTGTTAGTTAAAAACAAGCCAAATCAATACCTTTTAAAAAGTTTAATGTGAATAGAAAGCCGACAAATCGACTCAAAACATTCTTTCAGGATACAAGTACCACATACTAAATATATAATTACCGATACATTTAATATTAAGACTCAAAATTATTGCTTTAATAAACACAAAATAAATATTTGATCTTATGTATTTATATTATTGAAACTGAACAGCATCAGAGCCCAGAAATCAAAGTAGATGGGTGAAAAACTTATGGATTGTAATTCAATTGAAAATGAGATGTACCTTAATATTAAATATTAGAAAGTAGAATTTCTAAGATGTTATCAAATTCACAGGCACTTATAAGTGATTATGCTTGGTATACGACTGATTCAAATGATAAACATTACTTACGACGATCACAACAGTGTGTGTTTGACTAATATAAAATCATCTAGAATTTTCAAAGTATAATATTCCAGCCCACTGCCTCTACATATTATCTTGAAGTATCTTAGGAGGAGGTGGGGTATATTAGTTGTGTTGCCACAGATTAAATAGCCTATCATATTGCCTTTTCTATCTGGAATAGGGCTGTGGACAATCAGATACGACCTCCTATATGTACATAGTACATGTTTAGGAACAGACACACCACACAGGTTCATGGAGGGAAGGATGAATGGATACGAAACCATGAAAGTGAACGATGTATAAAATAAACAGCATGAATTTCAAAAGACAAGTTTTTGTGAATGAACAAATCAAGAAAAGACAGAAAATGTTTGTGAACATTTCATGGCAATCCTTTAAATAGGGTGTCAGTAACTGTAGGGTGTTGCATGAGATATGGGTCCCATACGAACTAAGATGGAGACTTTGAGGGTTATCATTTTTCAAGGTAGAGCAACAATTAAAGAAGTTGGACCAAAATGAAGGCAACCTATAAACTTTAATGTTCAGCTGCATTGTAATTTAAAGGGCGGCAGTCGTTATGTTCGATATGGGACTCATAGCGACGTATACAACGCGTGTAAAATACATTGTTTATTTATATGAAATTCGAACACACACTGCCGCTCTTTAACCATGTTAAGAATCAAGTTCAAGTTTGATTCTAGGGTTGTTTAGACCCATAAAATCTAAGACCAAAATTTACCAAATTTTAACTCGATAATTTCTGAGAACATAGGACTGTACTGACAAATATTCTGAAAATCAGAGTCAGTATTTCATGCCTTAAGGCTTGTCACTTTGTGAGTGAATTGGATTGTGGGAAAATAAATGTGTATTAACACAAATCTAACACATGCATAGCATGACAATCACCACCCTTTAAATCAAATAAAAAACAAGGGGGATTACCCATTTGTAAAACAATAAGTGCATGCATTACAAATTTTGTGTTTGCTTCAAACAGTCATTGTGTAAATGGTACATCTTTTCTCACCCCCACTTCTCTCCAATATGTAACATCTGTGTCTTTCACAATATTTCTTTTCAACAAGTCGTCTATTTCAATGGACACGACTGCTCAACTGGTCGTCTTTGGAAGATTTTAGATTTAGAAATTCCTGGCTGCGGTATTTTTAATGCCGGGCAAGTAGACTGAATTTTCTGTCCTTCATATACCATGTCCAAGATTACTGTTAACTCCAAGTCACTCTGTAATAAAGAAAAGTTTAATTTGTAAAAATATTTTACAAGTATAGTAACTGAAATATTTCATTTATAAACAAGCCTAGCATGGCATAGTCCCTGTAAATAAACATTTATGACCTTCAGTTATCTTGACCTTCAGATTACACACACCTGAGATTTTATGACCAAAATGGCTGCCAGTTGGTTATCTTTTAGTGTGTTTGCATACATGCATGTCAAAGAAAAGTTTCTAGGTCTGCGTAAAGTTTGAAGAGAATTGATCTAATATTGCTTAATTTACAGGAATGGATGTACAGACTAATTTCTAAGTAGATGTTTCAATCTTTGTCTGAACAAAGACTAAGTCAAAAAGAATGCCTTTTGTTGATTGGACAAGATTAAATTAACTTGTAATTACCGGTAGTAATATTTACAAGATTTGTTGTGAATGTAAATAAATATGAATTTTACCAAAAAGAATAACACTGACTTATTTCAGCAAAATGCTTAGGAATCAAGTGACTAAATCAACTAATAAGATGTGTTGTCAAATTTGAAGTAAATCAGCCCAAAAATGCCCACGGTTCTAGACATTGTATACCTGATTTTAGTGTATTTTTACAGTCAATAATATTTGACACAATCACACACGCATGTGTATCACTTCTACATGTAATAATCAACCATATTAGTAATCAACCAACTAGGGTGAATACTGGAGGAGGGGGGGGGGTACAAATAAGGTCGACTGTGATTCTCAAAAGGGTTGATTGTGATTACCAAAACTGAAAAGGGTTGATCATGATTACCAAAACTGAAAAGGGTTGATCATGATTACCAAAACTGAAAAGGGTTGATCGTGATTACCAAAAGGGTTGATCGTGATTACCAAAAGGGTTGATCGTGATTGCCAAAAGGGTTGATCATGATTACCAAAGGGGTTTATTGTGATTACCAAAGGGGTTTATTGTGATTACCAAAAGGGTTGATCATGGTTACCAAAAGGGTTAATCATGATTACCAAAAGGGTTTATTGTGATTACCAAAAGGGTTGATTGTGATTACCAAAAGGGTTGATTGTGATTACCAAAAGGGTTGATTGTGATTACCAAAAGGGTTTATCGTGATTACCAAAAGGGTTGATCGTGATTACCAAAAGGGTTGATCGTGATTACCAAAAGGGTTGATTGTGATTACCAAAAGGGTTGATCGTGCTTACCAAAAGGGTTGATTGTGATTACCAAAAGGGTTGATCGTGATTGCCAAATCGTGATTGCCAAAAAGGTTGATCGTGATTGCCAAAGGGGTTGATCATGATTACCAAATGGGTTTATTGTGATTACCAACAGGGTTGATCGTGATTACCAAAAGGGTTGATCATGATTACCAAAAGGGTTTATTGTGATAACCAAAAGGGTTGATCGTGATTACCAAAAGGGTGGGTTGTGATTACCAAAAGGGTTGATTGTGATTACCAAAAGGGTTGATTGTGATTACCAAAAGGGTTGATTGTGATTACCAAAAGGGTTGATTGTGATTACCAAAAGGGTTGATTGTGATTACCAAAAGAGTTGATTGTGATTACCAATAAGGTTGATCGTGATTACCAAAAGAGTTGATCATGATTAACAAATGAGTTGATTGTAATTACCAAGAGTTGATCATGATTCCCAAAATGGTTGATCGTGGTTACCAAAAGGGTTTATTGTGATTACCAAAACTGAAAAGGGTTGATCATGATTACCAAAAGGGTTTATTGTGATTACCAAAAGGGTTGATCGTGATTACCAAAAGGGTTGATCGTGATTACCAAAAGGGTTGATCGTGATTACCAAAAGGGTTGATCGTGGTTACCAAAAGGGTTTATTGTGATTACCAAAACTGAAAAGGGTTGATCATGATTACCAAAAGGGTTTATTGTGATTACCAAAAGGGTTGATCGTGATTACCAAAAGGGTTGATCGTGATTACCAAAAGGGTTGATCGTGATTACCAAAAGGGTTGATCGTGATTACCAAAAGGGTTGATTGTGATTACCAAAATGGTTGATCGGGATTACCAAAAGGGTTGATTGTGATTACCAATAAGGTTGATCGTGATTACCAATAAGGTTGATCGTGATTACCAAGAGTTGAACGTGATTACCAAAAGGGTTGATTGTGATTACCAAAATGGTTGATCGTGATTACCAAAAGGGTTGATCGTGATTACCAAAAGGGTTGATCGTGATTAACAAAAGGGTTGATCGTGATTACCAAAAGGGTTGATTGTGATTACCAAAAGGGTTGATTGTGATTACCAAAAGGGTTGATTGTGATTACCAAAAGGGTTGATCGGGATTACCAAAAGGGTTGATCGTGATTACCAAAAGGGTTGATCATGATTACCAAAAGGGTTGATTGTGATTACCAAAAGAGTTGATCGTGATTACCAAAAGAGTTGATTGTGATTACCAAAAGAGTTGATTGTGATTACCAAAAGGGTTGATTGTGATTACCAAAAAGGTTGATCGTGATTATCGAAAGGGTTGATCGTGATTACCAAAAGAGTTGATTGTGATTACCAAAACTGAAAAGGGTTGATCGTGATTACCAAAAGGGTTAATCGTAATTATTAAAAGGGTTGATTGTGATTAAACATTATTTTGGTCTACCAGTAATTTGGTTTTAAGAAACATAATTATGCATTGTATGAAGGCTAATAAAAGACAAATAATAATGTTTACTGGAATAATCAAGAGAGACAATTAGAGATAATAGGGAGGACAACATACTGATCAATGTTATGCTTTTTGTGATTACCGATACATCCACTGTGAATGTGTAAGTATATTACTCATTGTTAGTTTCAGTATGTTATGGTTCTCGTGATTACATCCACTGTGAATGTGTAAGTATATTACTCATTGTTAGTTTCAGTATGTTATGGTTCTCGTGATTACATCCACTGTGAATGTGTAAGTATATTACTCATTGTTAGTTTCAGTATGCTATGGTTCTCGTGATTACATCCACTGTAAATGTGTAAGTATATTACTCATTGTTAGTTTCTGTATGTCATGGTTCTCATGATTACATCCACTGTGAATGTGTAAGTATATTACTCATTGTTAGTTTCTGTATGTTATGGTTCTCATGATTACATTCACTGTAAATGTGTAAGTATATTACTCATTGTTAGTTTCAGAATGTTAAGGTTCTCGTGATTACATCCACTGTAAATGTGTAAGTATATTACTCATTGTTAGTTTCAGTATGTTATGGTTCTCGTGATTACATCCACTGTGAATGTGTAAGTATATTACTCATTGTTAGTTTCAGTATGTTATGGTTCTCGTGATTACATCCACTGTAAATGTGTAAGTATATTACTCATTGTTAGTTTCAGTATGTTATGGTTCTCGTGATTACATCCACTGTAAATGTGTAAGTATATTACTCATTGTTAGTTTCAGTATGTTATGGTTCTCGTGATTACATCCACTGTAAATGTGTAAGTATTCTTTACTCACCGTTAGTTTCTGTATGTTCTTGATTCTTGTGATCAGTGATTTGTCTTTGACTGGCAGTTGCAAACGTGGATAGGTGCAATCCTGTAAATAACAATAACAAATTAATATTTATGAATGAATATGAATTTTATTCAGTACAATGGCCTCAGGCCTATGGTACAATAAATCAAAAAATAGAAAAATACATACAGAGGGATTCCTTTAAATAATTGTTGAATCTACTAGTCACAACTGGTTAAGTAGATTGACTCTGTGTTTAGAAGTGTAGAATACAAATTTTGAAATTTAAAGAACAGATAAGTTGTCAAACTGCATTAAACTAAGAAATTTTTCGTAAGTCTGATTTGACAGATAAAATATAGGTAAATATTTTTTTCTAAGATTTACATAACGTGGACATACAAGGCAAGAATGGTATTCATCCTCAACTAACCCTAAATTACATAATTTACAGATTCTCATATTCCTCGATATGTTTAGTTTAGTTTTTAGCAATTTAAAGATTAACATATAAGATTAATATGGTCAAACGCTTTTTCAAAATCGACAAACACACAATAAAGTCTGCTCTTAAGAGTGAAATATCTATTTATGATGGTGTCTAATATAAACATATTATCTAGCGTGCTATACGACTTGCGAAATCCAGCTTGATTTTTGTTCAAAGGGCAATTTCTTTCGACCCATTTGTTCAATCTGGTACCGGTATATATCATAGAAGCAAATACTTTACCCAGCAGTGATAATAATGTAATTCCCCTATAGTTATTAACATTTTGAATTAACATTTTTGTATAGCGGTACAATCAGCCCCAATACCCAATCACTCGGAAAGTAACCAGGAGAATATAACTTATTGAATAATTTAACTAGTAAAACTGTAAATTTGGTGGGACATTTTTTTAACAATTCAACTGGAATGCCATCATACCCTGTAGTTTTACCCCTTTTCATGTCATGAATTACTTTGTTAACTTCCTCAAGTTCGTCACAATTAATATGGTTACAATCCTGGTCACTTTCTTGAAAGTTAAAATTGTCCACAAACTGTTTAACCTCTTCGTAAAAAGGGTCCACATCAATTTCACCTTCATTATAACTGAACAGATTTCGAAAATAACCAAACCATTCATCGTTAGAAATATTTAAAGAAGGGCTATTTTTATTTGTTTTTAGCAGGGACCAAAAGTTTTTTGAATTTGTTTGTTTGGATTCCTCCTGGACAGTAGTTTAAATTTCTCTCTCTCTTCAAATTGTTTTTTCTTTAGTGCCAATAATTTCCGATAACTGGCTTTTTGCTTTCTTAGGTTATCGAGCGAGTTATGTGTTCTGGTTCGTCTAAATTCATTCAGTGCTCTAGTTGCCATGGTTTTTGCAACGGAACAATCATGATCATACCAAACTGTTGAATTTTCATGCTGCCTTGGTTTCCCATTTTTGACCACATGTTTCATTTCAGCTGCGGCAGTATATAAAAGATCAACAATACGAGTAATTGACTCATCCAAACTATTGCTACTCATCAAATCATAAATTGATTCCAACATGAAAGCAGCGCGTTCTCCGTTCCAAAAACGGTGAAAATGTTCGCTATATTAAATTAATATTTATATACATGTAATGGTAACATTATGGTTGAATGCTATCTGTGTGTTTTTGACATGTGCGCATATTTCAGAATATATAACAATGACAATATTCTTTTCAAAAAGTGGCTACAATTAATCTTATTATTAATAATTAATCAGATTTGTCTGAAATCAAACCATAAAAAACAAATATTTTTACTAATTTACTGTAGAGAAGCAAATATTTACTCGCAGTGTTTGAAACAGTTTCAGACATTGGAATCACTGTTGTCTCCCCTCAATTTTGTTTGTACATATTTCAATTAGGTGAGAATATTGATGGTAAATATTACACATTCTGCCACAGACACTGTATTCCCTTATAGGGGCTACCGGTAGCTATCAGGATGTATGTGACCACCTTCTTAAAATAAGAGGTCTAGTTAAACACAGTCCCAGTAGACTTTGACCAAATATGTTCTCCAAAAATCTATGGCACACTTACTAACCAAAGAATACAGGGGCCAGCCCTTTCTGGTGTCCAGCCCCAGGTAGGATATTGGATCTCGTTACACAAGTTCAAAATTTTAATTGGGCTGAAACTGCCTGAAGGTAGAAGCTTAGTCATAATTTTTGACAAAATTGGTCATAAAGCGCATGACAATGTTCTTTAGTTTATTATGTACAATCATGAAGCTAATGTCCCATAGTACAATGAAATAGCATTATTCCATAGAACACAATGTTAAAAAAAAATTGCATTTTTTGACACTTTTTAAAACCCAGATTTTTTAAATAATTCAAAACAACCAAATGTACTCCATCATTAACAATATATGATTTTTTCAGCACATGTCACCAGGCTAGATTTTGAGATATTGCTGATATTGCCATAGAAACCTATAGTAAAAGTGTTATAGTAGTGACAACATTTTCTCGAAAAAAGGCTGGTGACCCCCAACTTTTTTTAGGTCAATATCCTTGTATTGTCTTGGAGTACAGTTTATTGCAAAATGAATAAATTCTGGGTAGTTTAATTTTATGAGTAGGCTTCTACTTTAAAGGGAGGTGGTTATCATAGCACGTACTGTTTGTTAAGGGACGTACATAAGGCATTTAAAATACATTGTTTGCTTACACAAAATTTGAACACGGGCTGCGCGACAAGCATCAGCGAAATTTATAATTCTGTTGGCAGCAACAGAATAGCCATCTTGTTGTTGTTAGGTAAGAAATGAATGAACAGAATAAGAACTCAAAATGTTGTTACTTACTGCAATAGTGTCATTATAACTTCTATTGGCATACTTTATATTTACATCCAGCTCCTAGAATGGTGGAATTGAACTTGAAATTAGAAAAATATACACACTGCAGGAAAATGATGTAACGACTAAATACAGCAATAACATAGGATATGTGACAGGGTAAATAATTAAACATGTACTATGTGTACGACTCAAACTGACATTCACATTCTCAAAAAAAAAATGCATGAAAACTAAACTTATTAGGCAGATGGTAGACATTTTTTTTTTAATCATTTTCTTGCTTTTGATAATTGCTTTCGTAGAATTTGTATGTTTTAAATATGTGTTCTAGTAGTTAGTGTAACCATTTTAATTCCTTCTGAGGAATTTTAAGTGTTCCGATAAACAAGGAGAGACGGTGAAACCCTTTGGTATTCACGTCACAGTGTTGTTAGACACAGACACGAACAATTCTGATCTAGCCATGCATATAGATGTTGTGCTGGTTTGAATAATACACTCATTCCATGGTTACCAGCTGTGTAATAATTGTTATTTCTGTGTTTTACTTCCTATATTTAGTACTATATTATAGCATTGTCAATGTCATTGCCACGGATTATTCGTGATAATGTATTACATTATTGAGCATCAAGGCTCCGTACCATGCATAGGTATACAATGTTGAGTTCGAAAGACAAATACAGAAACGGGTATTTAATAATAAGGGAAATTATGGGGTGTAAACAATTAAAATCAAAATTGATAATAAATAACTCTGAGCTATATGAATAATTTGCTGAATGTTTGCTCAACTAATCATTAATAAAAATTATATTATAGCATTGTCAATACCAGCGAATTTTATGACGTCATTGTCACAGAATATTCGCGATAATGCATTGCATTATTGAGAATCAAGGCCCCGTACCATGCATAGGGATAGAATGTTGAGTTCGGGAAACAAATAAAGAGACAAGCATTTAACAATAAGGGAAATTATGGGGTGAAAACGATTAAAATCAAAACTGAAAATGAACATGTCATTGTTAATGACACAGTCCCCGTCCAAAATTTTGTAATCTGATATAAAAATTTGATGCTGATGAAGTCATTGAGATTAGATTGAAACCATTAATAGGAGATGGATTTGTAAAAAACTATGATTAAGTGCTTTTACACAAGAATTGGACATTTGGCAGTCATATTGAATCAAATTACAAAAATGATGTTCATGTTGATGTATATATTGGTATACTGTCTTTGTACAAAATTTAAACAGAAATGTTCATTGCATTCATGGGAAAGTAGGCATGGGTATAATGAAAAACAAAATGGCCACAAGTCAGCCATATTTGCTTGAATCACGGGAAAAAAAATGATGTGCACCTACAACCCAATATGTATGATCATCATACCAACTTTGATCCAAATCGGCCCAGTCATCTCCGGGAAACTGCTGTGGACACGTTTAGATATCAGAAATAGCAAATTTTACATTCAAAATGACCACCAGTTGGCCATTTTTTCTCCGATCATAAAGTAACTTGACGCGCATATGTGATACATTATGTTTTGTCTTCATGTAAAGTTTGAATGCAATTCGTCAATGGGTGTCCGAGATATAGTTCCTGACATACGAACAGACGGAACGAACCCAAATTAATAGTCGCACATGTATGACATCGCACATGTATGACATAGCACATGTATGACATCACATATGTATGACATCTCATCTGTTTGACATCTCATATATATGACATCTCATATATATGACATCTCATATGCATGACATCACACATGTATGACATAACACATGTATGACATCACATACTGTACGTATGACATCACACATGTATGACATCTCATATGTATGACATCACACATGTATGACATTTCATATGTATGACATAACATATGTATGACATCACATATGTATGACATTTCATATGTATATCACACATGTATGACATTTCATATGTATGATATCATACTTGTATGACATCACCCATGTATGACATTTCATATGTATGGTATTTCATATGTATGACATCACCCATGTATGACATCACACATGTATGACATTCCATATGTATGATATCACACATGTATGACATTTCATATGTATGACATCACATATGTATGACATTACACATGTATGACATCACAAATGTATGACATTTCATATGTATGACACCACACATGTATGACATCACCCATGTATGACATTTCATATGTATGACAACACACATCTAAAAAGTTATACATATTAATTAACATAAACAGCATCAGACAAAACAAAACATGTCAATAAATTTGTACATTGACCTACCTTTGGAAAATTGTGAAGCGTAGCAATACATCGAGTGGCTTTACCGGGATCTACAACCTGCACGTATATCAGCATCACATTGGAGAATTCCGCAGTAAAATGGATCTTAACTTTAACTTGAAATGTTTGTAAATCAAAAGCTACCAATAATGGGTTCATCGGCATGACTGAGAGTAAACATAGTAAAAGAGCAAACACACATGTTTAAATATAAATAAATATATTACAAATGTGTATACATGGTTAATTTTAATGTTTCTTCAAAAAATACTTCAAATTTTTGTCATTTTTTCAAATCGCCACGAAGATCTCATTGGCCATTTGCGAAAACGGTCATAATCTGTTATGATGTTTCAATGCTTGATTCGACCTGCAACTATGTCCTCTGAAAGGTCAAGTCTGATAATAATCAATCAAAATGCTGTGTCGTACTGATGCGGTAGTGAATCACCGATGTTTATTAAAAACTTACGATGAGCTTCTTCCCATCTCATTCTACGGATATTAAACTCCTGTGTGTGACCGTCGCTGATGATCTCATCTCGTAGAGTACGATGGTCCCGCAGATCACTCTTGACCTCTGGATACTGTTTTTCCCGTACATCTTTGTCATCCTTGATAGCTTAAAAAATAGTCACAATAACATGATAAATAATGCTTGACGTTCTTCATTCTTCATATTGGTAATTTGACCAAAGATGAAATGTACCGGTTTAAATAGAAGTACCGGTACATATTTTATTTCGAAAACGTTTATGAGATAAATGGACGGCACAAGGCCTGTTCAAAGCGTCAATATAGTTTTGATTCAATGTCAGTCAATGATGATTCGTCAGTCAATGATGACTATGTTTGTGAGATACTACTATATTCTGCATGATGAAACACAGTTGTCGACCATTTCGAACGGCATAGCTTTTACTCATATACGTAATTTCGTTGTCGCAAAATTGCTTCACCATTAGAAGGTGCGACTTGGTGAAATGAAATGGTGTATTGCCTGAAAGTCTGATCTGTTTCTCAGATTATTTGTTATTAATCCAATATGCTAAGGCAAGTTGATCTTGAAACCCTGTATTTCTGAAGTGAATAATTACAACTGGGCGCTAACACGATCTGGTACGATAACTGTATAGTGACAACAAAAGAAGTTTAGACCTATGTAGCAAATTTAGGAATTTAAGTTTGATTGAATTCCAAATAAACTAATAATAATAATCTTATGGGATGAATGACATTAACATTAATTGCAACTGTGTATCAAGTTTAAATGAAAATGGAGCCAAATATTTGATTTTGACTAGGAGTGACAGCTATTGACTTAAATTTTAAGGTTCATTGGGAGTTTACTGAGAACATATACAAGTCAAACATAGAATCAAGATACATACCTTCTATTACTTTATCAAGCATAGTATTGACTTTTAATCTGGATGCCAAATGTAATTTCAAATATTTCATGAAGATTCCATTAGACGCATCTTTTAACTCAAATGCTTGTGTATTTGGAGAACTGTAATAAAACAAACAGGTACATGTATATGCAAATATATTTATTATCGAGAAACACCTTTTAAAACTTATGTAACCTGTGTTATTAAAAAAATATGGGCATACAAAAATTATGTTCAGTCTATATCTTTTTAGTAAATATGATTATAAGAAGATAAAATAATTTTTTGTTAAATTTTATTTGTATCAATTGTAATTATATTGTGACATTGTACCGTAGGTTTATAGTGCACTGAACTCACAGAAGGTATTATTAAAGATGGCCACAACACAACATTAACCAATAATGATAAATACTGTGGAATACTTTATTTTCGCTTGGAATTAATTTTCGCTATTCTCGCTGAAAGAATGATTCAGTGAAAATAAATTCCATACAAAACACAAAAAAAGTCTATTCAGCAAAAATTAAATCGAGCTAACATAAAGTATTTTACAGTATATGTGCTATCTCACAAGCAGACATATAACATATGGATATCCCCAAACAGTGCAACCTTTAAATTGATATATACATAGTTATGCTAATTAACTGACATGTTATTGGTGCAACCGAAAATCAAACATTGTTATATAATAATTTATAATAAACATCTTGTTAGTTAGAACATTTGTAATTTAGTAAAGCAAATTTTAAATTTTATATATAAAAAAAAAGTTAAAAAAAAAGAAATCATTTTTCATTTGTGCCTTAAGACACAAGTCACATACAATTTTATTTTAGATTTTTTATGATAAAGTATACATGTAGTTACGGCCGTAAGCAAAGTTTACGTTTATTGCATTTGAATGAATGGCATAGTTCATGCGTTGTTATTAAAAACCAAGTAAAGAACGATTAAACAAGTATATGCATCGTTGTTGACAGTCCCGCCAAACATCGTCAAGGTTGAATTTGCATAAAATACAGTAATTAACAAAGTAGGTGGTATATTAATGGTAATTAGTTAATTAGTAATTATTACGGTACTTACGATGCATATCCAAAAACAGTATTTCCACACACTCTTGGTTTATATGGAATCACATTCTCAGGTTTTGCCCCGTTACACACATTTCTGATGAAAAATAAATAAGCATCATAATGTTATAACTACTCCAATTATACACAATATTTTACTTTTAGTATCAGATTAACCATGAATGTCCAATGTATGTACCAAGTTTGAATGAAATCTGTTCATACATGAGAAATAATTTCAGAAATGCTTGATTTTGATGAGTTTTTAGCACACAAATGGCCACCATTCGGCCATTTTGAAATAAATCATGATGTGCATGTTGCCCATATGATATGTGATGTATTCATGATTTGACCAAGCATACAGGTTGAGATAGACGGATGAACGCACGGACGCACGTATGCACAAACGTCAAAACATCCAAAAAGACACACAAGTCTCTAAATCCTAATGAGTTGTTGCAATGCCCCCACAGCCTTCTGTGCCGGCTTTTATAGGAAAGAGCCCAGAAGCATATATTTGTGAGAAGGACGTGTAATTAGCCTTTGACGACACTAGCGTGTTATACCACATTAACAGCCAGTCCAAACGACTGGAAAAAGTACCCAGCAGGCTTCACTCACTCACTATTAAACTAACTTGATTGGCATGAATTCACTTTTCAGCAAAATTTAAGTTTTCTATTTCCAAATTAAGGAAAAGATTGAACTATGCCCAAGAGATGCAATCGATGTCTTAATATATACCGGTATCTATCTAAATATGAAAAATGAACATAATAAAATATAGTTTTTAACAAATATCTAGTCTTACTCTTTTCTGCAGATGTCCAGTAAGAGTACATTGAGTCCTGTATTCCTTTGTTGCATTTTATCTAAGATATACTGAGCACAGAGACAGTCTTCAGTTGTGTAGTAACTAGGCGCATCAACCGGAAGTAAGTAACTCTGACCTTGAGTTTCAAACCCGTGACCAGCAAAGTAAAACAATCCTATAATACAGAAAGTGATCAAAGGATAAGAGCGAGAGAAGGGGAAAAAACCACACAATACTGCAATCAGAATATGTTTCCATTGTAACTATTGTCTGAATATTTTTAAATTACATAATTTATCTACATCTCTGGAGAAAATGATTCTTATATGTCAGAATGGTAATAAAATATTTTCTTCCTATAGAATTAACTATTTTTTTAACAATTTAAGTGTCCATTTTTATCCACCGGTAGTATTATACCAATTTCTATCTACTGTTATTATTTCCATTTATTGATATCTACATTTTATCTATTAACAAGTATATATTTCTATTTAGTACATGTATTATACTTTCTATCTATATTATCATTTCCATCTATTGTTATTTACATTTCTATCTATTGTTATCATTTCCATCTATTGTTATTTACATTTTTATATATTGGTATTTACATTTCTATCTATTGTTATTTACATTTCTATCTATTGTTATCATTTCCATCTATTGTTATTTACATTTTTATCTATTGTTATTTACAATTCTGTCTATTGTTATTTACATTTCTATCTATTGTTATTTACATTTCTATCTATTGTTATTTACATTTCTATCTATTGTTATTTACATTTCTATCTATTGTTATTTACATTTCTCTCTATTGGTATTTACATTTCTATCTATTGTTATTTACATTTCTATCTATTGTTATTATCATTTCCATCTATTGTTATTTACATTTCTATCTATTGTTATCATTTCCATCTATTGTAATTTACATTTTTATATATTGGTATTTACATTTCTATCTATTGTTATTTACATTTCTATCTTTTGTTATTATCATTTCCATCTATTGGTATTTACATTTCTATCTTTAGTTATTATCATTTCCATCTATTGTTATTTACATTTCTATCTATTGGTATTCACATTGCTATCTATTGTTATTTACATTTCTATCTATTGTTATTTACATTTCCATCTATTGTTATTTACATTTCTATCTATTGTTATTTATGTTTCCATCTATTGGAATCCACATTTGTATCATTATTTACATGTTTTATTCTGATTTCTATAATCTATATATCTATCAATGTCCTCATTTTTTATCTTCTATTATCCTCATTTCTATGCAATTATTATCCCAATTTCAAGCTACTATTATCATCATTTCAAAAATCTACATTCTATCTATTAATATCCTCATTTCTACTTAAATGTTATCTCCAATTTTATCTATTATCTTCATTTCATTAGTTTATATCTATCCACTGTTATCCATATTCTAAACAACATGTCTATTCTTCTCCTCATTTATTTACAATTGTTATCCAGAATTCTATTATTATCCTCATTTCCACTTACTTATCTTTTTTTCTATCTATTCTTATCCACATCGTTATCTACATTTTATTGTTACCATGTTTCTATAAAATAGATCTACAATTCAATTTTTTTCAGATATCTATCTTTTGACAACCACATATTGACACTAAAGACACATACCATAGACACCAGAATCCAACAATTCAGAAAAAGCACTAACAGCAGCCTCCATTTCAGAAAGTGTCAGATCAATCAATGAGACCACTTTGTAATTACACTCTGTTGTCAGTATTTCTGTTATTGTATACGCATCTTTCACGGGAGCTTTCAACTGTTGCTCACATCGATAATCTTGATTACCTATCACCAAGGCAACCTTATCAGTTGCTGAAAATGAATAAATGAAAAATTTATAAACATTGAGGAATCAGATATTTTCTTGTAACAAAATGGCCACCAGTTAGCCATTTTGAATCACATTCTATACAATGAAATGTAGTGCATCAAAGTGCCATAATGCCTAATGAGTTTGAACAGAAAGCTTATTGTATGAATTTAAAAATTTTGTTAGTATTTTTTTTTATGGACACTGTGGTTTGAAATATGCACAAAAATGTGCTGTTTTGGTCAAAAGCGATTTAAAAAAAATTAGCTTCTAAACCATGAGTTTATGCATAAATTAACACCCAGGCTAGTTGTCTGTACGATTGTTGTAACACTGTTCAACCTAAAACAATGTCCCAACGGCGTTTTGAAGGTAAAAAAATTGTTAATCGTTTGTGAAAATTTCAAAACAAAAGGTCAAAGCGTCTAGGAGCTATTTTTTTTTAAAGTTCTGGGATGTGCACTAAAAAGAAGCTGAGATAATTGCTAATTTGCATAACAATTCACTTAGTAAGAAGTTTGCTAATGCTCATAATTAAAATGGCTGTAACAGTTCCAAATTTAAATGTATTATCGTTTTGTTAAAAGTTAAATATAGTGCATAATATGGAGATCCCGTCATTTCTTTTTTATTATTTATGTACAGTCTTGCTAAATCTTGCTAAGCATTCAAAAGAGAGAATGTTTGCACCTGTTATCTATATTTTAAAATCGTTTTTTGAGTATGTTCCACTATTCACAATTCTACAAACTTTTAACAGTCTATAGCCAAGACTGTTTGGATATTAAAAAGCAAAAAAAAAAAATTTCACTCCCAAGTGCCCACGAACCTGCATCTCTACCTTAAGACATTCAAATTTACACCTAATGCTCTCTGAATTTCACAATTCATTGGATCTGATCACAAGATGTTATTACAGTACTCATTCCGCCCAACCTCCCGCTTTTATCGCTTTTTTTCCGACCGCTTATCGCTTAATTTCCGACCGCTCGCTGCTTTCCGACCGGAAACCGACCGCTTTTTTTCCGCTCGCTCGCGTTCGCTTTTGTTCGCTCGCTCGCTCGCTTTTGTTCGCTCGTTCGCTCGCTCGCTCGCTTTTGTTCGCTCGCTCACTCCT